GGTACTATAATTTACTTCTTTTTTTATACCGCCCACTCTCTAAATCTGAATCAGCGATAAGTATGCCACTATTTCAATTAGCGTATATGCGCTGTGAATTAGTGAAATTTCACTAAATAATCAGTGAAACTTCACTGATTAATTAGCGCATATACGCTGTTTTAAAATAGTGGCATACTTATCGCTGAGAATCAGTGAAATTTCGCTGATTCAGATTTAGAGAGCAAGGAGATTTGCCGGTGATAATATTTGTACCGGCCCAGCACCGGCGTATCACCGGCCCGGTACTGTCATTTCGCTCTGTTTTATACCGCCGACGGAGATTTGCCGGTGATAATATTTGTACTGGCCCAGCACCGGCGTATCACCGGCCCGGTACTATAATTTACTTCTGTTTTTATACCGCCGAAGGAGATTTTCCGGTGATAATATTTGTGCCGGCCCAGCACCGGCCCAGCACAAAAATTTACTTAATGCTTTCTACTGACACAGAAGTTTTGCCGACAAAAATATTAGTACTAACCCAGTGTCCTCCCGGTTGTTTGCCAATGTTAAACTATCAGAAAAAGAATGAAAGAAAAGAAAAAAAATTTGAAAATTAATTTATTAATTAATTTATTAATTTAATTATTAATAATAAATTAATTAGTTAGTTGTGCCGGCAATTATATTAATACCGAGTAGGTTGCTTATTGGTGCCGGCCTGGTATTTAGCCGGTGAATAGGGCGGTTATTATTATTTATAATTACTATTTTTATTTATTTATTTTTAATGATTTAAATTGAATTAAAATAAATTAGAAAATACAAATACTGGCCCGGTACCGCACCGGTTGAATATTAGTGCCGGCCCGGTACTGCTGCCAGGTGGAATGTCGGTTGGTCTTTATAAGCTCACTTTGCATTTGCTTTCCATATGCAGGTTTAGGTTAGCGGATGTGGTGTTGACTTTGCAGCCTCAGGGTCCGGAGTTCAATTCCTCGAGTCTTCAGATTTTTCTATAATTGTTTATGTTTCTCTGTTTCAGCATTTAATATATTTACTGTTTCCAATTTAAAATTAATAATAACATTGATAATAATAATAATTAAACAATTAATCAGACTGAAATGTAATTCTTTTAACCGGCCCGGTACCACACCGGTTGTTTTTTAGTGCCGGCCCGGTACTGTGTCAGATATTCATCAGTGCCGGCCCGGTACGGTTGCCGGATACCTACCGAAGTTATCATCCGGCAATTTACCGGTACTGCGCCGGTGGAATGAACAGATTTATGCCGGTACTGGACCAGTACCTAGCCGGTTGTGCAGCCGGTAATAAACCGGCACCAAATGCCTTCCAACAATAACCGGGCCAGTACCGCCCCGGTGGATTATTCGGTACCGGCCCGGTACGTATGCCGGATACCTGCCGCAGTTATCATCCGGCAATTTGCCACCAAGACGGTGAAAATTGCGGTCTTATGCCGGTACCGCCCGGCACTTATAATCCGCCGTTTGTACCGGGCCGGTACCATCCCGGTCGTCAATTTCTACCTGGGTAGGGTCATAGTTAATAATACCATCGAGATTTTTTTCGGTGTATCATTCAAGAAATTTCTATTATCTAAATTATTTCCATGCTTTTCTATTAAATTTTCATAACTGTGAATCTAACCTTTTTTCTGTCCAACTCAATTTAAAAATTAAAATTCTAAGTTAAATTCAAGAAATTTTATGAAATAATTCTCAAAAATGAATTCTATGGATATTAAACATCATTTTTACAAATATGAGATTTTTTTAAAAATATAGGCCGCAACGGCTTCAGGTGAAATATAATGGACTGACCCAGTAGAATCATTTTTCCGACCAAATTATTTAAATAATTATATTTACTTTGATATACATTTTTTTTAAATTTCCAAATATTGTTTCACTTTTTGAATAGTTTGAAGAATATTGCGTGTAAATTTTGTTGAAAATATTAATATTTAACGAAGTAGTCACCAGTTGACGTCAAAAATTCATTAAAATTTCTTAACTCAAAAAATCACGTTTTTTTCAATTTACGTTAAAAAGAAAAATTATATAAAAAATTCTTATTAGAAAAAAAGTTTTGCCTTGAAATTCTGTACAAGAAACAATAATTTAAAATTAATTTTGAACAACTTCAAAATTTTGTCTCCAGAGGCCAACTTATTTCCCGTGTGTTCGCGCGTGTGCCCTTTCAAGATCCGGAGCCTCAATTATTTGTTATAATTTTACATAGACATATAAGAATAAACTGCGCGAGTTTCATGATTCCCATGAGAGGAGCAAGCCGGTGGTATAAAAAGAGACGGATAGAGCGTAAGAACTCTCTTTTTTCTCCCTCACTCCAAAGCATGCCGTGCGCTAGAAAGAGTCTGACAATCGGTTCTCCTGCTCTATCCGTCTCGGTCAAACGCATTGATGTCTCTTTCTATTTCACAAGCTGAATTTCAATCCTCTTGCGCAGTCTATTCTAATATGTCTATGTAATTTTATCATATACACCGAAAAAAATGTTTTCAATTTTAGACGATTCCTCTTCTTTTGCATCATTTTTTCCTCTTATATGTGGGCACTAAATTTTTCTTTTCTCATTAAGTCGAGGATTTTCCTCTTTTATAATTTATATTAAATGTCACTTTTTAAACAGTTTGAAGTTCAGAAAAACAAAAAAACAACTTAAAAATCTTCTTTCTATTATAAAGTTTCAATTTGAGAGGAATAATTTCAATCAAAGAAGGAAGATTAAAATTCGTCTTTTTGTTAAAAACCTTTCAAATATAAACAAAAAATAATTGTTAAGCGGAATTCTCTATTCTCACTTTGAGATTTTATTTTTTTCTGTGTAGGGGGTGTAAAAATTATTACCCTAAAATTGCCAATTGTCCACAAGCATGATAGACGAAAACAATAAAAATTCCGTCAATGCTCAAAAAAACAGTCACGTGTGCAATGCATGAATAGATAGCATGCACTGATACCAAAAAATAATGATCGTCCGTGTTTACATAATAATCAGCGACGATCATAAGTCTTCTTGGCCTAGTTTCGTTTAAAGGCTGGAAGATATCCAAAACTATGGGAACAAGAGGCACCGAAATATATTCCACCATGACTGTAAAAACCACAACTGAAAAAATCAAAATTAAAAAAAAACGCATACACTAGATAATAATTTTTTGATTCATTAATTTAATAATATATTAACTTAATATTAATTAATTTTTAAAAAATGTACTAATTTAATAATTTATTGAGAAACTGTATGAAAAAATTTTTTATCAAAAATAAAATCTAAAATGTTTTCAGAAAAAATTTATAAGAAAGTTTGTATAATTAAAAAAATGTTTCTTTATAGTTGAATATTGAGTATAATGTTTACGATGTACCTATAAACATAATAGATAATTTTCTTCCAATGTCGGCATTCTTACGTACAAGTTCAAATTCAACAGGGTGCGATGCCCATTCCTTCCATTGTTTTTCCATTTTCGCCAAAAGCAAAGCTATCTAACATTAACAAAATTAATGAAAATTTATAATTTATTTATTTTTACAAAAGACATGTAAAAATGATCGCTTTTCTAATAAATGTACCTTTTTTTTGTTGACAGAGGATGCCAGTAGACAAACCATACCGACAAGATTTGTAAATATAGGCGGTAGTGTCTGAGCAATCATATCAAAATCATCTCTAAATTTTATTAAAGCTGTAATCTATAGTTCATTATTGAAAATTTAATTTAAAATTTATTATTAGTATTTCTTTGGTAGTTTTTCCACTACAATTTTTATGCTCGACTTTTGTCTATAAAAATAAGAAGTAAAAAGCAAAACACAAAACAGAAAGCAAGAAAATTAAATGATATAAGAAAAGAAAAATAAGAAACAAAAAATAGAAAGGAATTCATAAGCAGAAAAAATAAAATAAACAAAAAAAGAAACATAAAAAATAATTATTAAGGGAAAAAGGAAAAGGAAAAAACTTAAAACATAATGAAGTCTACCTGCGCGGCTAAAAAAATTAAAAGACTGATCCAAATTAAAATAGTAATTGACAGTTTTTTTATTTGCGTTTGCTGAGGCCAAGATCCGATAACGCATAAAAAATATTTATTTACTTTCAAATAGGATTTATATGTTTCCATTTTGCCAGTCAAGAAAGTATTAAGAACTAACCCATTATAACCAGAATAAGATAATTATTTTACACAGAATATTTCAAAGTATTCCGTTCGTTAACGCTGTTTTTGAATATTTAATAAGCTTAGCAAGAGTTTTCCCTTATTTGAAGAATATTTTCCTTTAACAAGGTTTAAAGATAATAACTTTTAATTATCACCTTGTTTCGATTTCGTGCAACAAAGTTAATATATGCAAATTACTATTCAAGACATTGTATATTGGTCACTAGAGGAGTAAAATCAATCTATTTCACTGTTAGTCGTCTTTCAACCATCGGACAGTAAAGATCACTTTGAATCAAATACAGTCAACAATTATTGATAAAGAAATTATAAATAAAAATTATTTTATTTATTTTAAATTAAAACATGAGGCTGCCCTCGTGCCGTTAACATCGGCACGAAAGGATTTTAAATATTATGTAAAATAGTGGGCGAACTAGCCTTTGTGTCACTGTCGTAATAATTTGCCATATTTTAATAGTAACACTGAGGATGATCAGCGTCGATCTGATCAAAAAGCTTTTGTGACAATATAAATATTCATAAATAATTGACTTGATAAGAAACTATATAACCTTACACCTTTAATTAAATAAAGAAATTATATTTTCAAATTTCTTCAAAATTGCAATAACATTGTAAAAAGTGTGTCTTTAGTCCGATTTCGGCTAAATTTACGTTAGTCATTGTCTGAATTTTAAGATTGGAAAAAATGATTTTAAAACCCATGTAATTGTGTCAAATTTTTATTTTAAGCTTATTTTTAAAAAAATACGTTTACGTTTTCAGTGCTTTAAGACTTTGTTATTACAGTGAAAATTTAATAAAAAAAAATACTAAAGTAAAAATTTTCGGATTTTAACAATTTCCATTTGTTCCTCAATAAAAGTACATGTATAGAATAATTTTTCATATAGAATTTCTCTTCCTGTCTTTCGATTTCCGTATATATATGCAAAATAGAAATTTTTTATTTACGCTCGAACTGATGCCAAAACAGTTAAGTAAGAAACGGATGTTTTAATAATCTGGAATATAACATGAATTCAATAAATTTTTTTACGTCGTTGAAGTTCACAATGTTTAAAAACAATGATTAAAAAAATTCACGAAGAACAACTCTTCGTTTCATATAAAACTTTATATAAGAATTTGCTTACAGAAATATTCTCTTTCCTTCACGCTAATCATAAACATTGTAAACTTTTTTGTAAACAAAATAATTTTTACCACTTATTTACAGTTTTTCTAAGAATATAAAATTGAGACAAAAAGTTTTTTGTCTCAATTTGATTTCATTCTTTTCAAAATCAAATTTATTTGCTGAAACTGGCACCCACTTAATTAAAAAAAATTTTGGTTAAAAATCAAGAACCAATACAAAGATTTGAAAAATTAACTGGGTGCCAGTATCAAGATTATATAAATAATTAACATTTTACTAACAGAACAAAAATTTTCCATTGAAAAAGTATAAATTTTTCCAGCAGTAAAAGTGCAGGGAATTGCCGACCGCATTATTATCATGATTAACATTTTCTGTGTTCTCGATGACATTTTATACCAAAGTCCATCGTGTCTGAAAAATAATTAAAACTCTAAACAAATATTAAAAAATCAAAAATTTACATATGTAGATTTAATTTTAAAAAAATATTAATGATAAATAATAACATCCAAAGTCATGAATTAAAAGGACCCTAGGCCGATTTGCTTCTTTTCGAAATAAAGATCAATTCCCGAAAAAAATATGATGTATTATTTCGAGAAAGGTATATATGAAGAAACTTGTTTTTTAGCTTCAAAACTTTCCGGTGTGTGCGCCTATTTTTGACTCCTTAGGAAGTTTGTCTCGGATTATTTTTATTTACCCTCTCGTCTTCTGTTCAGTTCTAAGACATTGGGGCTTTTGGTACCTCAGTTGTCCCAATATCCTTTCCCCTCATTTCTTCTTCTCCAGCTCCCCTTTTGTCGCTTTTGGACTGCCAGGGCTCCTTTCACGTTTCCTGGCCTCCGTGAATAGATGAAAAACATTCGTCATCTGTTTCCTCATGTTTTGTCATTGCTGCCTTTATAATATCTCAAGGGTTCTTAAATCCGTCCTTTATCATTCTGTATTCAACGATTCAACGTTTTCTATAAACGTTCTATTAATTTAAATCTCGAGTTTCTTTTCTTCATTTTATTTATAAGTGATTTGATTTTTCTGAAAGTGCTACTATATTGAACTTCTATTTTTTAATTTATTCAGATTTTTTTAAATTGTTTTCCTCTATTGAAACTACTTTATTTCATACTCAAGAGTAAGAATTTAATTTAATTTTAATGTGCATTAAAAATGTATACTGAAAGAATAAAAATCTTGGACTAATTGTTTTTTTTTATTTATTAATAGAAATTACAATAATTATTAACTAGTACACTTTAAATAGTTTTCCAGAGTAAATCTCAGTTCAGTATTTAATCGATAAATTTTCTTATATTTGGGCCTTTTTTAATTTTAAAATAATTAATAATAATTAAATAATAATTAATTTTAAAATCTTAAAATAAACCGCAAATGACTAAAATTACTATTTCGTTGGAGCACATTTTGCTTTTAATATTTCTACAATTTTCTAATTGTGCTTTATTTTCCTCATTTCTCTACTCAGAAACATAAAATAAAAATTTATTGTTACATATTAAATAATCGTAGATATTCAACACTTGATCAGAACTGTTTTCAGAAGTCAAAAATAGTGTAAAAATTATAAAGTTCATTCCCAATTAACAAATAAAAAAATATAAAACATTGATTAATGATATTTTTCAGTCTTTTCTGGATGATTAAATTGTTTAATTCATATATGAGGCATTTTACGTGAAATGTCCTAAGTTGAAATTTCAACTTCTTGAAAAAAATTGAAACTCGAGGAATTTGTTGTTCTATCAAGTAGAAATGTGACCCAAAAAATATTTTTGATTTTTTCGAAAAATTGGAGGGGGTAGAGGGGGGTCAATTTGACCAATTTTGCCAACATCGGCTACTTTGTGAATTTTTTCTGAACATACTTGTAATGGGAAAAATTTTTTAGAATATGTTTCTGAAAGGTTTTTTCGTCCTCTTTCCAATAGTGTATTTTATTTTTTAATATTTTAAAAATTTACCCTAATTTTTGATAATTTATATTTAATTTTCAATTACCCAAAAATCGGTCCGTTTTTTTTTAAAATAAATTATTGCAAACGAAAGCTGAGGTTTTTTCCTATCGGCATGTAAATTTTCAGAATGCCCTTTTTTTTGTTTTTGAGTTATTGAATTTCAAAGAATAAATTGCGGCGCGCTGCGTCGCGGTTGCACTGAGCCGCGTGGCAACCCATGGCAACCGGCGTGAGACGAGGCGCCCGGGACGCTGCGCGCCGCAATTTATTCTTTGAAATTCAATAACTCAAAAACAAAAAAAAAGGGCATTCTGAAAATTTACATGCCGATAGGAAAAAACCTCAGCTTTCGTTTGCAATAATTTATTTAAAAAAAAAACGGACCGATTTTTGGGAAATTGAAAATTAAATATAAATTATCAAAAATTAGGGTAAATTTTTAAAATATTAAAAAATAAAATACACCATTGGAAAGAGGACGAAAAAACCTTTCAGAAACATATTCTAAAAAAATTTTCCCATTACAAGTATGTTCAGAAAAAATTCACAAAGTAGCCGATGTTGGCAAAATTGGTCAAATTGACCCCCCTCTACCCCCTCCAATTTTTCGAAAAAATCAAAAATATTTTTTGGGTCACATTTCTACTTGATAGAACAACAAATTCCTCGAGTTTCAATTTTTTTCAAGAAGTTGAAATTTCAACTTAGGACATTTCACGTAAAATGCCTCATATATATATATAAATTTCTTGAGCACTTATATATTTTGTGAAAGTTGAGTACTCTGATCAATCAGACGTTGACTTGGCAATGTTATCATAAACAAACGAAGAATTTGCGTCAAAGAAAACAATAAAATTTCCGAAACATCACGAGGATGATCCAATGAAATGATCAACTAAAGATTTTCGTTCAATTTTTCTCTAATTTTTCGCTCTTTATCATATTCTAATAATAGAAATGGTTTAGTTTAAAAAAAAATAAATTTCTTGTTACCTGAAGTCCTGTCAAACTTAATGATATCATACTTATTCCCAAACTCAAAAAGTATGAAAATGAAAAGCAATCTTTAATTAAATGTACAAACCTTGAAAAAGAATAATGCATAATGTGAATATATTTGTTAATATTAGAGTGTATTTAAGATGGTAAGAATTACTTCAATTACGTTAAAACTGATTTGTGTTTTTCAATGCAGAATATAATTTCTTTTTGTATAATTTATTTTCATCATGGGCTGATAGTTTTAAATCTATTTTCACAATAAGGTTCTTCATTTTGAATCTGTAAAGGAGAAATTTTTTTGCATTTTTCATCACAATGAAATGAAACAAATTTGTAATAGAGTAAAGAGTTTTTTGTTTTTTTGCAAATCTCTTAGGAGTGTTTAAAATAAATAATAAAAATAAAAGAGGAAAATTCTCTCAATTAAAAATGATTATACTTTAGTGTTTAGATTAGTTATAACTTTAGAGGATGCTGCAAAAAAACAGGAATCCTCTAAAATTGAGAACAATTTTTTCCGGTTTATGATGTAGTGTGAAAGAGAAAAGTAATTTCTTACCCTAATATTTCCAATTGGCAACAAGCATGATAGACGCAGACTATAAAAATTCCATCAGCTGTCAGGATGACTGTCGTTAATACAATTGTAACATGCCACTGATGTGTTGCTATTGCTGCATAATACTGACCATCAGTGGTATCTACCAAATAATCCGCAACATGAATTTGCTTTCTTGGTCGTGTTTCATTTAATGGTTTTATTACATCCAAAAAAATTGGAATAAGTGGCATAGGACATGAATTCAACCATAGCCGCATAACTGAAAACTGAAATACAAACATAAAACTAGGACTTTTCCTCTAAATATGAAATTACTTTCATCCTCGAGCTGTGATTTGTATCATTATTTACCAACTCTTGCAATATTTAGATTACTTGATTGAACTCCATTATTATGCAAAATCTCAAACTCTGAACTTGATTCACACAACAACCAATCTTGTTTCATTTTCGATAAAATTAATCCTATGCAAAAAATATTTTTTTCTGTAAAAAAAAGGGTAAGGAAGAAAGAAGAACCAGAGTAGAGGGTAATGAAAAAAGAGATCATTAAAATAATAAATAAATAAAAATAAACTAAGAAGCGAGTTAAGATAGGATTGAATAATGAAGTAAATGAAGTAAATTCCTACCTTACTTCTGTGAATGGAAGTGGTTACTACAAAATTTATACTGAGAATATTTGCAAAGCAGAGCGAAAGGCAATTTATTATAATGTCCATATTGCCCCAATTGTTTATTAAAGCCAGTACCTAAGACTTTGCCGAATTTAAATTAGATTTTTGAGCTTGTTGCAAAGTAAGTGCAGAATTAAAAACTGGTATTAAATTAAGATTTTCTTGAGCAGCCTTGTTTGGAACATACCACGCAATGAAAAGTGTACTAAGAAAATTTGCTGCAATTGCGGTAATTATTTGATATAGTAGAAATAAGCAAAGATTTACTTGTGTCACTAGAAAACTCATAAGGCTGAGCAATAAAAATAAAGAGATTAATCTGTGAGTGGATTTCGATTGCTTAGGCCACAATCCTGTGGCACATAAAAAATATTTACTGATTTTCATGTAAGAATTGTATGATTCCATTTCGACGTTTGGTGATGAAATGACAAGCGCACTCCCTTTCAGACTTTCCATATTCTCTTTTCTTTATACTGCTCTGTTCGTTAATTATAGTATAAACCGCGTAAGATAATTATTCTCAATGTAGAATCAAGTACTGCTTTCTATTATATACCAAGAAAAGGTGAAATATTCCTATCTAATACCCCAGTAGCACGTAATATTACAGCGATATTGGGAACATTGCCTTAACATTACCAATATTGTCTCAATGTTGTGGCATATTGCTGGAATGTTCCCAATATTACGTGCTACTTGGGTATTAATTAGTACTTCAGCAAAAGCTATACTTTACTCTTAGATATAATCTATCTTGTCATAAAAAATTATCTTTAATTCCATAAAAAGCTTTAAATGCGAAAGCAATTTATTAATGACTTTCAAGAATAACAGAAAAATCAATTTTTCCCTGTTGAGCACAGTCAGTCGAGATTTAAACTTTGAAGAAAGAGGATCGTCATCATTTTTGCTGTCCAAAATAAAAACCTATATAGTATACTGAAAGAATTTTAGGCAGGCTGCTGGCTTTTCATGTCCGAAATTAGTGCTCCTTGCACAGGGCTCGCAGCTCACCTCAAAAAAGCGAGCATCTACTTCCGAAAGGTGAGCAGCTGCCCCTGAGGAGTTGCTGCTTACCTTTCGGGAGTAGATTCTCGCCTTTTTGAGGTTAACTGCGAGCTTGAGGCAGCGAGCTCTAGCGGCACTCATGTAAAGCCTGCAGCCTGCCCAAAATTCTTTCAGTGTAGGCGCATTTGCAGAGGTCGCGATTTGTTTAAAAACTAACCGAACTGAGACCTTACGAAAAATGTAAGTATTAGGTTTTTACTTTTAATAGCAGATTTTACAAAGAAAGTTAATCAAGAAAACTAATTTTTTTGAGATATTTGTCAACTTATGTTTCACCCCAGCAAACACTGTTACAGATCTGTTACAGAACTGTGACAAATAATTGAAGAACATGTTCTGTAACTGGTGACTCACAGGGGACTCACTGGGTACGCAAAATGTCGTAGTCAGGGGGATGTCACAGTTAAGTAACAGATCTGTAACATGGTGACGAAGATACTTGTCACAGTTCTAGAACAGTTACAAATATCTGTTACTCATATCTGTCATTAAAAAATATTTAAATTAAAATTAAAAAAATATTCCACGCTGTTCTCGCATGTCATACATACCCGGAATGTTTATACATGTCGAAGAAAATTTGTTTTGATATTTATTTAAATATTTACAATCACGAGGTCTCGAACGCAAGACGCAGCTAGGAGTGGATTAGAAATCAAACGCTCTACCAACTGCGCCACGGAGGCTCATGAAAGGAAGTTTAGAATTTACATATATAACGAAGGAACTATGAAAATGTGCTTTGTAACTTGAAAAAGGATACTGTATTTGCAACAATAGTATAATTATGTTATGTATAATATACATTATATTTAATAATGTTAATTGAAAAATGTAAATTTTCAAAGTTACAAGTATAAGGAAAGGCTTAAAAATTACTTTTTAAATGAAAGATTAAAGCAATTAATTTAAGCTTAATTAATGAAATTTCTAAATTTTTAGAACAAATTTATATTATATAATTTTTCATTTAAATATAAATAGATTTTACAAAATTCTTTGTCAAATTAATTTATCAAAAAAATTTGCTATTACGAATAATAATAATGTCAAACAATTAACGAATAATTACATTCAAGGGGGTTAAAATGGTTAAAATGTTTAAAATGGTGTACACTCTAATACACTACATTTTTCTGCTATTACGCGTATTATCTAGTATTATAGGGTATTACAGAACTATTACAGGGTATTACTGATTATTACAGAATATTACCTTTATATTATGTGGTATTAGACTGACGTAATAATGCTCTATTACACTCTATTACGTGACTAATACGCGAGGAGCGTACACGCTAATTCACAAATAAATACCCCCTCGATTACATTACATGCACCTTTAAAACATTTATGAGACTTTTATACATAATAATATTGTTTAAATAGTCACTAGAAGAATAATAAAACTGAAGAAAATTTAAAGATAGAGTAAAAAATGCTACTAATAGTAGTATAAAAGAAATAAGAAAGCAATTTGTTGTCAATAATTACTATATAGGTATTTTTTATAAATTATTACGAATTATATTATATTATATTAAAAATTATATGAACTACACCAAAGTTTTTAGAAGAGTTTAACATTGTTCGGACAATGTTAAACTGTATATTACAGAACTGCATTGCAACATATGTTTAGACCAGTTACACAACAATGTTCCTACACAGTTATAGAACAAGGTTGGAACAACAGTTACAGAAAATTTGTGACATTAAAGTTATGTAACTCTTACATCACATTGTGATAGAACTGTGACATAAGCATAATACAGAACTATTCTATAACTAACTTGTAACTATGTTCTAGAACTCTGTTACAATCAGGTTATATCACAGATCTATAACTAGTTAGGAACAAATGTTCTATAACACTGTGACCTCACTGTTATAGAATACTTATATAACGTGTTTGCTGGGACTCATCAAAGTGTTAAGTTCTTTAAATTCCAAGTCATTCTAACAAGTCATGGGAAGGAATAAAAGTACATAATATTAATTTTCATGGTAATTTGATGATTACACCATCAATTTTTAATCATTATAGTTTCTAAATACATATACAAAACTTACAACTACCATTTTTCTTTTTAAAAAAAATTTGTAATTTCAGTACTTGTACTGTAATAAAAAAAAAGTTATACAAAACAAAAATTGTATAATCACTTTTACAGAGTGTAATATATGTTATGGCTGAAAATTATTCGAAAACTAAAGGCTCTCAAACATTTTCAATGACAGAACGTGTCGTAATATTTACTGTACAATAGTATTACATGATTTTTACCAGTTTAGTCAAAATTTACAATTGACGCAAATTCTTTAATTATCCAAACATTATTTATACATATAATTTCTATTCAACGAATAAATAGAAATGTCTCTTGAAATATTATTTTATTCACGTAATGATAGCAAAACTGTGAAATATGAAATCGATGTTTTTACCACCTTGAAAAGATTTTTAAAAAAGCACAATGAATGTTTATTATTAATTAATTGATACACGCTATACATATTATTTAGAACTAAATTTATTAGTTATATCTAATTTATTTTGACGCCTATATTTATTGAGTTGTAAATTATACTTGCCGAACCGAAATTACTCATGGAGAAAACGTACAATTTTCCTGCTGTGAAAGTACTAGGCTTTATGCATCTCAGCATTATTATTTTTAACATATCTTTTGAACTTGGAGTTAAATTGTACCAGTAGCTATCATAACTGAAAATTTAAAACAGTTCTTTATACTTTACATAAATAAATAAGCGAAATAATGCAGAATTGTTGTGAAAATAATTTACATATTTTGTGAGAGTTGTATGCTCTTATCCATTAAACGTTGACATGGCAATGTTAAACTAAATAATCGAAGAACTTGACTCAAAGTATATGACAAGATGGCAAACGTTTCACTTGGATCATCCAATTTCATGATTAACTAAAGATTTTTAAAAAAATATTTCAAACAGAATCGCATGATTCAAAATTTATTATACGTATATTAAAATATAATAAAATATTAACATTAACGAATGTTTTAGTATCAAAATTTTTTCGACAGACTCAAATTATCAACTTCTTACAAAAAATTCAATTTACCGCAGGAAAGTTCAATTATGAAGAGATGACTGTATAAAAGTGCAAACTATATTGCAAGTACAAAAAATACAGAAATACTTTCAAAAATACAAAATAATATTATGAACCGACTGGGTGGGGGTAATAGAAAAGTACGCAGAAATAAATACAAAATTATATAAACTAACATTATAAATTATAAACTCAAAAAATTGTGTGTTGATTATAAACTTTCTATTACCTGCACACCTGTGAAGCTTATCATTATCATATTAAATCCCAAGCCCATAAAATACGATGTGGAAAAGCAATCATTAATTTGATTTATAAACCTTCAAAAAGTAATAAGTGTCAAATTAAAATTATATATATTTTCTAATCTCAGTGCGTGTATGTCTAATAAATTTTATAAATAGCTTAACATTTTCCGCAGGAGTTTGTAATACAACCAAATTTTTTTTACCGAAAAATGTTCTTGAAAAATGTGCTTTTCAAAAGAAAAAAAGATTTCCATATTCTAGGGCATAAATTGAAATTTACATCAATAAAAATAAAGTACAAACATTAAAACCGATTTGTGCTTTTCCACGCAGAATTTAATTTTTTTCTGTACATTTTTCTCGTCAGTAATATCCATGCTGTAATCTATATTTACAAGAGTTCTCATTTTGAATCTGAAATTTAAAGGCTTTTATTATTATTATTATTATTATTATTATTATTATTATTATTATTATTATTATTATTATTATTATTATTATTATTATTATTATTATTATTATTATTATTTTTTTTTTTTTTTTTTGCTTAGGGAATTTTGGGAAATCTGTTTACAGATACCTTGGATTCCGCACTCCAAGGTTATGTGGGGTTGGTAAAATAAAAAAAAAGGGAATTTAAAAAAAAGGATAAATAAATAAATGTTATAATAAATTTAATAAACTGGCGACCTACTACCAGCCCGACCCACTAAAACCCGTAACCCTTCTTTTGGAGCCCTTTACCCTCCCTCGGAACTGTCGTAAGACTTTAGCCTTCGAGGGAGGCGCTCCAACTCTATCGCTGCTGCGACTTTGTTCTGTGTCTGCGGTTCTCCTGCGTCAATAGTTAAAAAATTTAAAACTATTTCAATATAAAAGCGGAATTAACAGCACAACAACAATAAAAAACAAAAATTTTAAGAAGTTTAAAAAGTCAAAAGATAAAATTATAAACGGATATATAAAAAAAAAATAAAAATAAACGCGTATAAAATATTGAAAACATAAAATTGTACAAAGATGAATAAAAAAAACAAAACAAATTAAAAAAAATGTATAGGGACAAATAAATCACAAAATAAATTAATAAAAAACAAACAAACAAATTAAAAGCTGTTTAAATTACGCTTTTTGGCGGCCGTCGAGATCCTTCCTCGACATAACCGAGATTATGAAGTTCTCGACTTGCCGCCAATTCTCTTCCGACTGGGTCATCAGCGATACCATATTCTCCGGTGTAACTTGACTGTTTACACCTTCGAACATGGCCCGCCTCTCCAAGTCCCATTTTTTGCATGAGAAGAGGGTGTGCTCCGCGTTGTCCTCAGGGAACTGGCAATATGCACACACCTCGTTCTCGCGTAATTTAAAGCGACACAGGTACGAGTTAAAACACCCGTGACCTGTGAGCGCCTGAGTCAAATAATAGGAAACCTGACCGTGTTTCCTATTTATCCAGGTGGCGAGTGCCGGGATAAGGCGATAGGTCCATCGACCTTTTCCCTCACCATCCCATCTTTCCTGCCATCTTTCTATGAGCCTGTGCCTCGCTTCTTTGCGGATCAGGCCCTTGCTTGGTCTTAATTCCTCATCCCAGGAACTGCTTTCTTTAGAAAAGAGAAACATTTCTTCCCTTTCCCTCGCCAAGAGATCTGCTGGCGGGACACTTGCAAGGACCTGCACAGCACTCGTAGATACCGTCTTATATGCAGAGATGATACGCGTTGTTATCGATCTCTGCGCCGACAGTATCTTTTCACAGATGGTAACACATCTTTTACTCCTCAGGGATGGGGCCCACGCTGGTGCTGCATAGAGCATTTTAGCGTGGGCGACACTCGCCACCAGTCTTCTTTTTTGTTCACGGGGTCCGCCAACATTTGGCATTAACCGTGAAAGATTAGCCGCACACTCGATCGCCTTATTCGACGCCGTAGCCATGTGGTGGTGGAAGTTTAACCTTCCATCCAACTCCACACCAAGGTATTTAATTTGTTTACTCCACTTGACCTCGAATCCGTCTATCACGATTCGTGGGAGCTCATAACCACGTCTGTCTGTGACTAGCAGTGCCTCGGTCTTTTCCAGGGCCATTTCAAGACCTCTGGTATCCAGCCAGCTTTTTGCTAGTCGCAGACATTCGTTCACCAATGTCCCAAGAGCCTCCTCACTCTCGGCAGTGCACACGAACAACGCGTCGTCCGCAAAGCCGATGATCATCGCACCTTCGGGCAGATCCATTCGCAGAAAATCATCGTAAGATACATTCCATACAAATGGACCCACCCTCGAGCCTTGAGGAGCCCCACGCTGCATCTCTTCCCTGAGAGTGCAGGTGTCTCCCTCATATATAACCCACCTGTCGCTAAGATAATTATCCATTATCCGCAACAAGTAGGGCGGCATGTTTTTCTTTTCCATCGACTCGATGAGATCTTTCCATCTTGCGGAATTAAACGCGTTGCGTATGTCAATTGCTACCAACGCGCAGAAGCTCTTCTTTTTCCCAGGTCCCAATCTGTTTTTTCCTGCTTTGGCTATGTCCACAACTGCCTGGATGGCATCAACTGTGGACTTGCCTTTACGGAAACCAAATTGGTGATCGGACAGACGATTCTCTTCGGTCAAGTGGCCTTGCATTCTCTGCAGAACCATATCCTCTAGAAGTTTACCCATCGTATCTAGCAGGCATATAGGCCTGTACGATGAAACCTTATCTAGAGGTTTTTCACCTTTCCTTAGGAGGACTAACCTCTGTCGCTTCCAGTCGCGGAAGAACTCTCCTCTCTCAAGGCAAAGATTGAAGCATCGAAGCAGAATCTGGGGTAAAGTGTCGATTACCAACTTTAGGATCTCGTTACTTATCCCATCGATTCCAGGCGCCTTGCCTGTTTTCAATCTTTTGCCTGCTTTTTGCAGTTCACTAAGTGTGAAGAGTTCTTCCTCTTCGACTTTGCAAAAACTCCAGTCCCTTCTAAGGTATGGCTCCGCAGGAGGAAACAAAGAACTTATTATCTTTCTGACCCAATCGGGATTGTCCAGGCCGGGGGTCTTTTGCCTCGTCACTAATTTCTTAGTTACGATTTTAAAAGCCAGACCCCATGGGTCCTTATCGACTTCCTCGATTAGGTCCTTCCAGCTACGGCGTCGCGACTTGCGGATCTCTTTCTTGAGGTCCTTTTTCGCCTCCTTGAAAGCCTCTTTCAGCAAGGGATCTCCCTTAGATCGGGTATATGTCCTTCTTGCTTTGAGGCATTCCTTTCTCAAGGAGGCTAGCTCCTCTGACCACCAGTGCAAGGATTTTCTTACTGGAGTGACGCCTTTGCGTGGCATTGACGCATTGCAAGCGGTGACTATCATGTTCCTCACCGCTCGCACCTCCCCATCCAGACTGCTCGACCTCTTTACCCAGCCCAAGTCCTCAATTAAAAGGGCTTCTCTTAGGGACCGGCCGAACTTTTCCTTGTCGAGTCTCTTCATATTCCACGAGGAGGTTTTGCGACTAGGAGCATCCTGTCTTTTTCCTCCTCGTGTGTCTCCCATAGAGACTGAGAACTCAATGTACTGGTGGTCACTTGCGGTATATTCCTCTGAGACCCGCCAGTCGGTTATGCGGCTAAATAGTTTAGACGATGCGATTGTTAGATCTATAATTGATCCGATCGCACCTCGTCTAAAAGTCCATGTATTGCCTCGGTTTACTGCCAATAAGTCGTTTCTGGAGATCATTTCTCCAATACGAATTCCTCTCTTGTCGAGTCTCGTCTCACCCCACTCTGGCGACTTTGCGTTAAAATCACCAGTGATGATGACATCCAGCCTGGATTCTGTGAGGCTCGATTCTAGGTCTTCGATATTGGCTTCGAAGTTTGTCAGTGGGTCGTTGGGTGAGAAGTAGCAGCTATACATACGTATATTAGCCACCTCTATCCACACGAACCCACTGCTCGTCTCCAGAAACTTGTCAACCCGCAATTCTGGGTTGCACAGCTTTATGGCGGCTCTCTTCGCCTTATCCTGATACCAAGGGGCGAGATCGCTTCCTTGATACTGCTCACTGCAGAACAGGATATCGACCTCATTTTCCCTTGCTGTTTGCATTAGGAGCAACTGTGCATCCTTACTTGTATGCAAGTTGACCTGCAAAAATTTTAAGGATTTGCCCTTTTAATCTTTTGCAGTTCTTCTCTGTAAACCGGGCAGGCTCTCTTTCCGGGATCGTGATCCGTCTCTGGCTTTCCCAGGTCCAAGCATGTAAGGCACTTCGGCTTAACTTTACAGCTCTTCGCGAGGTGTCCCTCTCCGCCGCATCTCCGACAGTTTTTGCTTCTGTCGGGGCCTTTGCAGGTTCGGGTTGAGTGTCCGTATGCTAGGCACTTTTGGCACCTAGCTACTTCAACATGCTCGCGAATTGGAGCATTTATCCAGCCGATTTTTATTTTACCAAGCTTTAGCAGAGTGTTACTTTCTGCCTCTGTCAGACGTACCAGAGCAACCTTAGTTCCTCTGTATCGCGGCAAAAGTCGACACTCCATCTTCAGGTCGGGTTTACCCAGCTTTTCTCTTAGTGCTGCAGTTACCTCATCCTCTGAGGTGGCTTCGTCCAAATCCTTAATCTCTAGAGACCTTTTATTCACTAGAGGTGTGACCTCAGCTTTACCATGCAGGGCCGAAGACAGTGCATCTGCAAATTTTAAGGTCTCTCCGCCCTTTTTCACTATCACGAGAACCTCCTGTTTAAAGGTTCTCCTGATTTTCCGGATCACGGTACCCGTATCTTCTGGGTTTACCTTTGCTTTTAGCAGCGGCAAGATACCCTCATAAAGCTTTGGGTCGCTTGCCGTAATTTTAACAGCTTCCGTGCTCCTCAGCTTCAAAGGGGGCTTCGGAAGCTCTTTTTTCTCACCTGAGGGTTTCTCTTTTGGAGTCCGTTTCTTTTTGCTTTTAACAACTTTGAAGCCGTCCCCATTGTCCGCTCCGTCCTTTAAAACGGTCTCAGCATACGAACTGCCAGGACTATTTAAGGGCGCCTCTTTCGTTCCATCTAGCGACTCAGAACCAAGCTGTGGAGCATCCTTTCGCTTAATTCTTTTCCCGCTTTGAGTCGCCCGTTGCGGACTCGCATCTGGGCTTGCACCTTCCCTGGGGCGCTTATTAACGCCCTTTGCCTTATTAGGGCGTGCAGTTACGCCGTCCAGAGCTGTAGTCGTGCTCTCCGTCTGATCTCGAGCTCCCACAGTTGGATGTTGCGGCGCCTGGTCTTTGAACGGCTCGGGGATAAAACGTAAATTCTTACAAATTGTTAAGAACGAACTCTCCAAAACCGCCACGCCATCCTGGATGTCACGACTGACGTTCTTTTGGCGCTTGAATGCCTGGTACACGCTCTTAAAAATCCCGGGAATAGCCAGAAACTGATTTGCGACATTTGATTCGTAGCATGTCAGCTGGCTATCTATTTGGCTCCCTCCAAAATCCTTGGAGCCATCTGCACCGACTATCGGGGCTTGCACCCGATCAGAATCGGTGGTGGGATTACCCTCTTTCGAGGTACCCACTTGGAGTATTTCGTTTAAAATTTTGTCCATTTCATTTGTGTTTTTTTTTAATTCTTTGTCCCGTGTCGAGGGACAATCGGGCCTTAACAGGGTACTACCATCTGGCCAAGATGGGCCCTGAACCGCCTCCGTTAGTTACATAGACGTTATAGCATTGCCGGAGCATTGATGCGACGTCTATGATATCCAAGGGCACGTGAACATGTGTGTTCGGACGTGGAGGTCGATGTGTCTCTCCAAGATAGCAGGAAGTTTCCGCAAAGGGAGTGCATCCTGGTATCTCTTCACAGAGTTTACCCTCATTATTATTATTATTATTATTATTATTATTATTAAATTTAACATTTAATTAATATTAATATTTAATTATTTATTTATTAAATTTGTTGTGCTCCAAAGAAAGTTTCAAGAAAGAAGCAAAAAATTGCAGATGTTTATAATTTTTAGAGTAAAAATACAGAAAGGGAATCAATTACTATTAAAAATTGTTGATGCTCAAGTATTCATTACATCCAAAATATTTTAAAAAATGGTTTCGAATTTACAGAATTTTGAAGTAACGTAACGGCCTTTATGGGAAACGTAATGTAACGTCCCCTTGGAGAGAAGGAGGGCTTAAAAAATCCTAACTCATTAACGATGTTTTTTATAATAGGGAGTAATTAAAAAATTTCTCAGTATTTACCCTAATATTTCCAGTTGTCCAGCGGCATGATAAATGAAAGCTCTAAATATTCCGTCAACAGTCAAAATAAGAGTGATTGTAACAATAGATACGTGCCAATGATGAGCCGCTATTGCTGCATAATATTTATCCTCATTTGAATCCACTAAATAATCGGTTATGATAATGAGCCTTCTTGGCCGTGATTCATTTAGTGGTTTTATTGCATCCAAAATACTTGGAATTAGTGGTACCGTAAGGAACTCCAGCATGGCCACATAAAAGAAAACTAAAAAATATTTTTTTGGGAATTCTTTCAAAAGAATTCTTTTTAAACTTATTTTTAATTTTTTATGTGTATTTAATATTTTTTATTATAATTAAAATTCCTTTTCAATTGTATTTGCCATTACCGTAAATTGTATTGTTTACAGTCTTTGCTAGAGCTCCGTTATCCTTTAAAATTTCAAACTCAGCATCCGATTCACAAAATAGCCAATCATCCTTCATTTTTGTCAAAATTAGTTCTATCTAAGAAAATTGAAATAGAAAATTATTAAAATTCCAAAAGAAATTATTATTATTCTTGTCCATCACTGTTTAATTTTTACTCTTTTTCTGTTGATAGAGGCAGGTACGAAACAACTTATGCTAAGCAGATTAACAAAGCAAGGCGGAAGCCACTGAATTATAATGTCCGAATCGTCCCAATTGTTCACTAAGGCCAGCACCTATAAAAGATATCTTTTATTTGCAAAAATTCTTACATATGAGCGATTCCACGTCAAGTGATCAAGGGGTCTTACGATGCAATGTTTATTTTGATAATTTTTTACTCTTAAACAATTAAACATAAAAATTTGGCCAAGTACAGTTTCGAAAGGTTTTTTCATGCTCTTTCGATTGGAAATAAGCATTTAAAAAAAAAATTTTTTTGACCAAAAAAATATCAAAATTAAAAATAAATTTTAATTTTAGTAGGGGAAGGATAAGATTTTTTCTTTTTTTTTTTAAAGAAAGCTGAGGTTTTTTACTAAAAGGACATATATATATATATATATATGGGCAATCCCACGTGAGATTTAAGTCGACCTCTTAAAATCGGCCAAAAATATTTTTTTTCTATTCTGTATCGAAAAAAAACAGATACGTATTTTTTTATTTATGTTTAATTGTCCAAATTTTTGAGTAATGAATTTTTGAAAATTTGGACTTTTAATTGTAGACCTATATTCAGTAGCTTATAAATCCGAAAATATTGAGTTTAGGAAAAAGTTGTCAAAGAATGAAAGTTTTAGTTTTCTTTCGACTTTTAAAGAAATGTAAACAAAAAATTTTTTTTTAAATTTTTTATTAAAAAAAAATTTTTTTTTATAAACAAATTAATTTTTTTTAACTTTGGGCCGGATTTTTTTTATTTTTTTTTTTATTTTTTTGTACCTTATAATATAGAGAAGATTTTCCAAAAAGTCCCGAAATGGGCCTGATGTGTTAAACGAGTTTTAAAATATTTTCAAAAATCACTTGCAAGCATCACAGTGGGATTTTTTTACAATTAACTTTTTAAAACTGTTTACAACGTAGACCCTTTCATTTAAAACAAAGAACACTCAAATATATTAAAAATTATACCTTGTAGACAGTTTTAGAAAGTTAATTGTAAAAATATCCCACTGTGATGCTTGCAAGTGATTTTTGAAAATATTTTAAAACTCATTTAACACATCAGGCCCATTTCGGGACTTTTTGGAAAATCTTCTCTATATTATAAGGTACAAAAAAATAAAAAAAAATAAAAAAAATCCGGCCCAAAGTTAAAAAAAATTAATTTGTTTATAAAAAAATTTTTTTTTTTAATAAAAAATTTAAAAAAAAATTTTTTTGTTTACATTTCTTAAAAGTCGAAAGAAAACTAAAACTTTCATTCTTTGACAACTTTTTCCTAAACTCAATATTTTCGGACTTATAAGCTACTGAATATAGGTCTACAATTAAAAGTCCAAATTTTCAAAAATTCATAACTCGAAAATTTGGACAATTAAACATAAATAAAAAAATACGTATCTGTTTTTTTCGATACAGAATAGAAAAAAAATATTTTTGGCCGATTTTAAGAGGTCGACTTAAATCTCACGTGGAATTGCCCATATGCAAAAGTGGGCCTAGAATGTTTAAACATTGAAAAAAAGAGATTTCTACTGACCGGAGAGCTCAAAACCCGGTTTTTGGCTCTGTTTAGTAGAAATCTCTTTTTTTCAGTGTTTAAACATTCTAGGCCCACTTTTGCATATATATGAGGCATTTTACGTGAAATGTCCTAAGTTGAAATTTCAACTTCTTGAAAAAAATTGAAACTCGAGGAATTTGTTGTTCTATCAAGTAGAAATGTGACCCAAAAAATATTTTTGATTTTTTCGAAAAATTGGAGGGGGTAGAGGGGGGTCAATTTGACCAATTTTGCCAACATCGGCTACTTTGTGAATTTTTTCTGAACATACTTGTAATGGGAAAATTTTTTTAGAATATGTTTCTGAAAGGTTTTTTCGTCCTCTTTCCAATGGTGTATTTTATTTTTTAATATTTTAAAAATTTACCCTAATTTTTGATAATTTATATTTAATTTTCAATTTCCCAAAAATCGGTCCGTTTTTTTTTTAAATAAATTATTGCAAACGAAAGCTGAGGTTTTTTCCTATCGGCATGTAAATTTTCAGAATGCCCTTTTTTTTTGTTTTTGAGTTATTGAATTTCAAAGAATAAATTGCGGCGCGCAGCGTCCCGGGCGCCTCGTCTCACGCCGGTTGCCATGGGTTGCCACGCGGCTCAGTGCAACCGCGACGCAGCGCGCCGCAATTTATTCTTTGAAATTCAATAACTCAAAAACAAAAAAAAAGGGCATTCTGAAAATTTACATGCCGATAGGAAAAAACCTCAGCTTTCGTTTGCAATAATTTATTTTAAAAAAAAACGGACCGATTTTTGGGTAATTGAAAATTAAATATAAATTATCAAAAATTAGGGTAAATTTTTAAAATATTAAAAAATAAAATACACTATTGGAAAGAGGACGAAAAAACCTTTCAGAAACATATTCTAAAAAATTTTTCCCATTACAAGTATGTTCAGAAAAAATTCACAAAGTAGCCGATGTTGGCAAAATTGGTCAAATTGACCCCCCTCTACCCCCTCCAATTTTTCGAAAAAATCAAAAATATTTTTTGGGTCACATTTCTACTTGATAGAACAACAAATTCCTCGAGTTTCAATTTTTTTCAAGAAGTTGAAATTTCAACTTAGGACATTTCACGTAAAATGCCTCATATGTCCTTTTAGTAAAAACCTCAGCTTTCGTTTAACCCCTTCGCAGTCAAGACTAAAATCTCATAAGTGGGCTCAAAATGTCGACAACTTTTTAGAAAACTAAAATTTGCGCAAACGAGCATACTATTGTATTTGAAGTCGCTCATTACGAATCCGATATCAGATTTTGAAAATTCAAAATGGCGGATCCAATATAGCGGACATGAAAATGAAAAATCGACTGAATTCACTTGAAACTTGTTACTCAGGGGTTTTCGGGGTCGCTGATTACGAATCCAATATCAGATTTTGAAAATTCAAAATGGTGGATCCAATATGGCGGACACCATTTTTTAAAATTCATCAGATTCACTTGAAACTTTTTACTCGGAGGTTTTCAGGGTCGCTGATTACCAATCCGATTTCAGATTTTGAAAATTCATATTAGCGGATCCAATATGGCGAATGAAGTTTTCTAAAATTCATCGTTTTCATTTGAAATTCGTTACTAGAGGGTTTTCGCTGATTACGAAAAACTTTTGAAACGATAATAAATACAAAATTTTCCCCCGCAGTCAGTTGTTAAATATACTACTTTACTTACGACCCCAGAGTTTACCATGTGGAGGTTTGCGGTTGGATTTTACACTTTTTCATTTATTTTGTTTTTTTAATATTTTTTTTGTTTGTTCTTATATTGGATTCGCCATTTTTAAAACCGATATTACATTTTTAATCTACTACATCAATAAATCCCAAGTAATAACTTTTAAGTAAATCTGATAAATTTTTTAAAATGGCGCCAGCCATATTCGAACCGCCACATTGTATTTTGAAAATCTGATATCATATTTGTAATCAGCGACCCCGCAAACTCCTGAGTAACGAGTTTCAAGTGAATTCGATGAATTTTTGAAAATGTCCGCCATATTGGATCCGTTATTTTGAATTTTTAAAATCTGATATCGGATTCGTAATCAGCGACCCCGAAAACTCCTGAGTAACAAGTTTCAAGTGAATCCGATGAATTTTTGAAAATGTCGTCCGCCATATTGGATCCGCCATTTTGAATTTTTAAAATCTGAAAACGGATTCGTAATCAGCGACCCCGAAAACCCCCGAGTATCAATTTGTGGACAAATCTGTGTGTTTTTGTAGACAAAAATCTGCTTGCGTCTATACACGTCATCGACAGTTTGAGCCCACCTGCACCATGACGTGTATACACGTCATCGACTGCCAAGGGGTTAAAAAAAAAATCGTATCCTTCCTCCCCAAAAATTAAAATTTATTTTTAATTTTGATTTTTTTAGTCAAAAAAAAATTTTTTTTTAAATGCTTATTTCCAATTGAAAGAGCATGAAAAAACCTTTCGAAACTGTACTTGGCCAAATTTTTATGTTTTATTGTTTAAGAGTAAAAAATTATCAAAATAAGCATTGTACCGAAAACCCCAAAACTTTCACCCCCTCCCCCTCGGAAAATATTGGACTAGGTAAAAAAATATTTTCACCAAAAATCACTATCCACTAGTACTACAAAAGCCCCAAGTTTAGGCACGATTGGAGAAAAATAAAATTATTGTCCACCTTGATCACTTGACATGGAATCGCTCATATTGCAAAATGAATCTCAGCTCTGAAAGATAATTATTTGCTTATAAAATATTTCTAAATCAATTTTTTTTTTTTTTTTTTTTTTAATAAAAATTATTTGATTCAATTTTCTTCTTCAAAAATTGTAAGCAATCTTTCTCTTTATGCTTTACTGGTAACGCAATGTAATTAGTATAATAAAAAAATTTACTTGTGGTATGAGAAAACTTATAAGACTAAGCCATATGAAAAAGGAGCAAAATTTTTGTGTAAATTTCGACTGATAAGGCCATAATCCCGTAGCACATAAAAAATATTTATTGATTTTCATATAAGAATTGTATGCATCCATTTCAACGTTTGATGTTGAAATGACACGCGTTCACCCTTCTAGATTATCCATTCTCGTTACTTTGTTCGGTAATTATAGTTCAAACCGTAAGATAATTATTTTCAGTTTTAAATTCAAATACTACTCTGCGATATACAGGAATATAAGGCGAAATTTTCTGATTTAATATTAAATAGTTTTAGAGCGAAATCTCTACTTTTCTTTAAGATAATCTTTCTTGGGCTATAAAATATTCTTTTCAATTTCTTAGGAAGTATTTAACGAATGCAAATTATTATTCAAGACAAGACCGTTAATTATTATTATTCTTTTGAGCGAATAATCAATATTTAGCTACAAAATATAGTCAGTCTCGTTTCAACCTCTCAACAATGATGATTGTTCAGAGTTAATATAAAATTTCATAAATACAAATCGTTTTCTTAAAGATTTGAATTGAAAAAAATGGTTAAATTGCTTTTTTCTTCTTAATATATTTATTTTA